ATATTCTGGAATACAAAAATTTGATCACCATATACCAGTCTTTAGCAGAATCTGTAATAAGATACTGTATTGCTGCCTGGGGTGGTACATTTAACAATTCCATCAATACCCTCCAAATATCTCAAAATACAATCTTGAAAATACTATTCAAGAAACCTAAAATATACTCTACCAAATGTTTATATAAGGAAACGCAGTTACTGAAAACAAGAGAACTTTATATCCACCAATGTTTAGTTTGGGTGTACACAAACAAACTCACACTTCAATCAACAAACAAAGAAAAACAAACAAGATTCGTTACTAGCTCTTCCATAAACATACCAACATTTAATAAAAGTCACACACAGAGATGTATTTTCTATCACGGCCCAAAATTATTCAATCTTCTGCCAGCTAACATAAGAAACAATTCCAATCTCAATACATTCAAAAAATCCATCAAAACGTTCATTATGTCCAATACCGAACTTCTCGATTTATTCGGCTAAATATAAACAATGTTCAGCAAGCTCTTCATCATTCCTAATGTTCATCAATTCTGTAAATCAATTAACTATATTGAAGCGTGTGTATATAGATATAGGTATAAGACAGTCAATTGTATATAATTGAATACCCTGAGTGGTAGATGGAAAGCACAACACAAGTACTTTAGTTACTTAGGTGCATCCATCCTCACACTGAGGGTAATAAAACTGTATATATAAACTGTAAAAACTGTAAAAATGATGACCTATAAATAAATCTTGTAATCTTGTAAAAATATCAATTCGGGAATAATGAAGTGAAGATTCGAAAATAAATGAAATGTTATAGAGTTATCAAGAATATGAGGGCAAATATCTGAATTTCAAGTATCTAGGAAATGCGGCAGTTGAAATGTAATTGTAGTTAGTATGCTGGAAAAGTTGAAGCAAAATGAGTTTCACGGAGAGTGTTATAGATTCAAATAATAAAATAAAATTTATTGCTTTTTTCAAACCTGTTGAGATGGTTGTTTTGATTATTGGAGTCGTGGGTGGATTCATTTCTCTCTATTTCCGAATCTCAGGATCACACCGGCGACAAATGTAGGAGGGTGCCATTCTTGGCTCATTGCGCTTACTCAAGGCACATGATTCTTGGATCCAATAATCACTTACCTCGCGGTGTGGGTGGTGGTCACTTCGACGAAAGTCGAAAGCGCTTTGCAAGAATTTTAAAATATTATACACTTTAATACAAAACCTCTTCGATTCATTAAAATAAAATTCACCTAATTTTTTAACAGACCTCGTATACCTAGGAGTTATACAACACGTGACGTTGAATTATTTGTCAAGAGAAAATGGTGGTTCGAGAGCATGTCGTACAGAAACTACATAATTATTGAAGGAGAAATTTCGCGTCGGCCTCGTCACGCTCTTGTACTATACAGGGCATTAAAGCAAATGTCGTTACACAAGTGTATGATCCCATTCTAAAGAATTTGCGTCTCCTAGCGAAATTGGACTTGAATTCGAATCGTTCTTGGCTATTGTTTCTTCTACTCATTACAAAGTTAAGCCATCTCATGAAATACTTACTATGGAACTACCTAAAGTAATCAAATTGATTATTCACTTTTAAAACTACACGGAAACTAAAAGGGAAAATGTAGTAACACGTGACTTAGTATGATAATGATATTATTGAATCTTAATGGCGGTAAAGTAACAATTTCCTGTTAACAAAATGATTATCACAAAATTCATTCATTTGCAACATTTCCATTTTATCAAAATTTTCATTATTCTACAGCTTATCTTTCGTAATTCCACAAGCTCGCCTATGAATACAACATCGATTTAAGAGAGTGATAAAAATGGTTTCCATGAAATAGAGAGAAAGTAATGATATTCTCACGAAGTTTCGAGAATACTAAGGTTACATCATATCGTGTCAAAATCGTAGGAGTGCTGAAGATGAATGGATCAAGTGTCTATCGGGAGCGCCTGCGCCTAGTACGTTGAACACTTTTACTGAAAAAGACAGAAATGGTAACCTTACATAAACAGATAACAACCATTTTCAATTCGAAACATTTATTTTCATAGTAAATATGTATCTTTTCTCGACACAGCTATCAGACTGATTCGACTTCTTTCAGGATTCAGATATACGGGATACTTCTTTCCTGGTTTGGTTTTTTCACGAAATGAAACAAGACAAAACTCTTGGTTTGTCTGGGGTACCTTTTCGTTTTTTCCGAACCAGACAAAACTTTTCATTGTTTGGTTGGATAAGCATATGCCCAGCATAAATATGTGTCTATTTGTTGATGGAATTTACAATCGATTTTTGTTATTTTATAGTAGTTGAAAATATTCTACGCCTCAATTTCATATTCTGCTTTTGTATTCATCAACATTGATATTAAAATAAGGATCTATATAATATACTAAGAGTTTACTTGTATCAATATTAAATGGATCGAATTTGGAAATAGCTCTTCAAGAAAAATTTACTCTGATCTGTATTGGTTCTAAAGAATGTTCTGCCGATGTCACATAATGTCAGTGAGATGTCTTCATTATTTGGATTTCAACTAACAGCTGTCTAATATAAAAATATACGTTTACAAAAGAAATTGGCCTGCACGGCCCGAAAACAGATGTAACTGGTCAATTCAGGTGTTTAGACGTTTATGTTTTCTTTAATTTTGTTTCATTTGATCATCCAATCAATTAATTTTTTTTTGTATAAACTTACATACATTTCTCGGTAGGAATGGAGTTCTTGTTCTTCTTAAAAAATTAACACAGAAATTGTAGTTCTATCAAATCCCATACTTTTTATTGAAAACGAAAACAATGCATGGTACAGAAAAATGAGTCGACGAAATTTTGTTCATTACGTTTTCAATTTGTCTTTGCAATCTTGATTGTTCGAACGCTTATCTTTTTTGGAGGATTCAGTTTTAGTGGCTTTTCTGATCTGTTCACTTTTTTTCAATAAATCTTTATAGCTGAAAGGACATTTTCTTCTTGAGCTTTCAGATTGTTGTTTTTTGATACTTTTTCCTCCGACTATTTCTCTAACTTCATGCACGTTGCAGATTTTTTCTTTCTGAACTTCGTTGCTTTCGTCTTCTGTTCTTTCTCTACAAACTAGTTTCTTGGAAATAGTCATACGTCTGGTTGGTAGTTCTGGAGAACTTTTTTGTTTCAGTAGTTGTTTCATCTTCTCATACTCGGCTTCTGAGCTGCCATCTCCAGCAGTCATAGGCTTTATTTCCTTACAAACAAACACGTCTCTTCCGCAATCATCTTTTGTTAGTTTACATTTCAGCACCCTGACAACACCTTTTTCTGGCTCACTGGACATTTTACATTCTCCACCTTTTGCACTGCATATGAACTGTTCTGATTTTCCGAGCTTTTTTACCTTGCAAATGAACACATCATCTTCGTTTTCATCTAATTTGATATCATTCACACCTAGCGCATCCTTTTGTCGAGTAGAACCTGTGAAAGAATTAGACGATCAATATACTTGTCGTTTAGGACAACATACAATCTCAAATTATAATAATTTATTAATTTATCAAATGGCACTAAGATCATGTTTCTTTCTATTTTTCAATTTACATAAATTTTCGTCAAAATTGACTAAAGTTGTGTCATTGACAAATATCTAAATGAGTAGAAGGGTAGACAAACACAAGAATAAATTCCTAAGGTGAACCAAATGAAATGATTCTCTTCTGAGATATAAATTTCCTCATTGCTACAAATTATCCATTTCTTCCAAGTCTTCAAGAAACACTCAGTCTCATGGGCGTATTGCGTTTTCGTAACATCTTTCTCATGATGCCAATTCAAATTGTTCTCTGTATCAGTTCGTACAGGTTTTTTGTTGGTCGTTTGACTTAATTTGGGTTGTCCATAAATCATTTGCCTACTGTGATCCAGTGCTTCATATTCGCATAAAAAATTGACGAGCTGTCTTTGTCCTTTTATTGCGTTGTCTGAAGCTAAGATCTCCCTTATATATCCCTATTTTGTTCACGTATCCTCACCATGGAAAGTGTCCAGTAAGTAGTCCAGTAATGATTCTGAGCGGATCCCTGCTCTGTTGAAGCAGTTCTTTTTTCGACCGGTCCCTTTATGAAAGTTTTTCCGTGTGTGTTCCCTGGTACGTTTTTCCACATCTCTCTATGTTCCTTATACACCTACTTTCCAACCTGGTGATATACCAGAGATTTCAGTACCCCTACAGGTGACTCAGGGCTTGTATGTGGAGTTGATCCATGACTGACACATTCATCAATTTTCCATTTTCCGTTGCCAGTATAGAATCAATAGGTTCATTCAGTGCCCCAAGTGCAACGTGGCTGCCTGGAAAATATTGATTCGATCATTTTATTGAGTACCGGATGACTGATATGTATTGACCGGGCGGGCAACTGAAACATGAATTTCACATCATACAATAAATTTCAGCTCTCGACCCACATTCAGTTCTCGATCCATCTCTATAGAATTCAAGTAAACGATATAGTGCAACCTACCTTCTAACAGCTCCCCTTTTTCAATAATATAGTCATAGTCATAGTTTTCTTCGAAAGCTTCTGATAATTCCTCTCCCATATTCTCTGTTTCACTATCACTGTCGTCATTTAAATCAATAATGAATTTACTTCCATTAATATGGAAGTGTCCAATCTCCATATAGTCTTTTTCAACTGAAATTACTTTTTTAATCCTTTTCTGCCAGTCTTCTTCGGTAATATTAGATACTTCTTCTTCAGTTAGCTCTATTACCTTTCTCTGATACTTTGTTTCAATTTTTTCCACATCAACTCGGGATTGAAAACACTAAAATAGGGGGGAAGTCTCAGTATGATGTGTCCATACTTTTCAGCAATACTCTCAAATTCATACACTTTTTCAAATGTTTTGTCTGTAAAACTTCAAGTAGTAGGTTTTTGGTATAGTAATCTGCAAAGTATAAATTGTTATCCATTAAAAAACCTTGTATTTCATCTTTCCTCGAATTTTTATTCGGTACTTTGATGAGCTGTCGCGAATGATAGGAAGCGTTATCAATAATATTACACTATTCGCATTCAAATTTGGGATCAATGTGTTTTCAAAGCATTCCTCGAAAATATAAGCTTCTATATTCTTATGATAGTCAACATTGTAGTCCTCAAGTTTTTTTCTACATAATTTCAACGAATTCGGAACCCATCCTTTACTTCCTCCGCAATCCACAATGATTAGTCGCGATTCTTCGTTTGCGGGCATGTTAGGCGTACACATTCTCGAACCATCAGTCCACCTTTTCATAACTGTGTCGTGAGTGTTATAGTAAGTTTCGTCCAAATATAAAATTTGCTGTTGTCCTTGTCTATATTTAGTTATTAGTTCTAAGTAGTTGTTACGCAATTTCAGTACTCTTCTCTTTTCAATAACTGCTTAACGTTTGTTCATTCTTTTAAATCTGAATCCTAGTTTCTTTATTCGATTCTGAAGAGTTTTGTCACAGCAGCTCTCGTTATGGCCGGAAGCATTCAATTTCTTCCTTATGATTTCAGTTACAGGAATCTCATTGCTTTTGTAACAGTCGTATATTGTTTTTTCAATGATTTTATTAGATGAACATCTAAAGGTTTTGGTAATCCTATATCACATCGCGTCTCGCGTTCATAAGGTTTGTTTTTGACTATTTTCCGTACAGTTGAAAAAGGAATTTCGGTCAAATCTGATGTTGCTTGTAATAGTTTGTTTCTCTCGAAACCACACTTGAGATGTAGATTCTTATATACATTGAAACATACTCTCTGTCTTCAAATATTCAAAAGCTTACGAATCTTAGTCACTGGTATCTCTCTGTTTCGCATTGTTTACCATCGCTATTGGAATTACTACACTGGATAATGTTAGCGTTGTTATCACACTCGTTATTACTATTAGTACTTGTCCAAGAATGCCACATTTTGAACAGATAACAAAACTTTTAAGTACTTATAACTACACCAATATCGAGTTTCAACACTCAAATCGTGATCAGTTCCTGAACTGAACACGACGGAGATAACCATACCCGCATTCCCCGATTTCTATTCGTCACCGTAACATGATTTCAAATTCAATTTTATGACTCTTCAGCCAATCATAAAACTCGGTTAGTAAAAATTATCCAATACGAACCGCCAATTCTACTGTTCATGTGGACTAGTTCGCAGCTGGTTCATTTCAATGTATTGGTTTTTTGGCCTTTGTAGTGCTGCAGAATTGGAACCCCTGGCGTGAAATGAGTATAGAGCACTTTCAGCAAATTATTATCATCTCCCAACGGGAAATAGAGTTTTGTTCTAGTTTGGGACAAGTGTTTTTCTTAGAACCAATGAAATATGAAATATTTATAGAAAGTGAGACATATGAAACTCTGACAAAGAACCAAAGTAGGTATACTGAAGGTTCTCAGTTAAGGAGACATTTCAAGTAACTTCCATGCATGATCTGCGTATCTTCATAGATAGTTAATTTTGGAATTAAATGTTTTCCTCCTTTCGAAGAAAGGAGAAATTGTATTAAGATGGAGAAGTAGAAAGCCAGTGAGTTTTCTCTCAAAGAAATAATAAAATATAAAGAACCTAACATACCTGAGTGAATGATGAAAAAAGTGAGATGAGGTTATTTGGAGTTGTCTTAAACGATTTACAATAATCTTTGTTTTGAGGTAATGAAATGAGTTTGAGTTATCTCCTGATGATGCTCCCTTTATTAGGAAAACACTTGTTGAGTGTCAATACTTTTGTTCTGATGTGGGAAAGTATTTTCAATACGTCAATTCCACGCCACGTTTTGTTGTCGTGACTAATAAAATAATCGCACATTATTTACAGCAAAATGAGACCGTAAGGTTGATAAAATAATTTTCCTTACCTGGTTTATCTGATTTTCGACTTTCAACAGTCTTTTGACACTGTTGGTTTTTGACTCTCTCTTCTTCCCGGCTTTCTTTTTTTCTCATTTTCAAGCAAATATCTTTGATACTACCGCTTTTTTCTTTACCATCTCCTATATGACTTTTTGTTTCGCAAACAGTCCGTTTCTTAGCGTTTTCTGAAGATTTTTCATCTTTGGCCAGCATTTTTTCGATTGTTTTGTTATAATTTTCCAATAAATTCTTCAAGTTTTCTTTTGTACACTCTTTGTTGTAATTGGAACAGTCTTTACTCATTTCATTTTGACTTTTTTTAATTCCCTCGCAAATGCTTTTTGGTTCAGATTGACTTCTTTTCGGTTTTTCGTTGAAACACAGGGAATCTTTTTTCTTATCCAGAAAATACTTTTTATTTACATTTTCACAGGCCATCTCTTCATTCTTTTTGTTGCCAGGACATTTTTCGTCTTTTTTTTGCTCCTTGTTCTCTTTTTTCGTTGTATCCTTCTCACAAGCCTTGAAGCAGCAAGATTCTTTTTTATTTTCTAAACTAAACTTTTTCTTCTCAGTTAGGCCTTCTTTATTGATCTTATCGGCAAGACATTTTCCATCTTTCTTCTGCTCTTTCGTTGTTGTATCCTTATTCCCTTTGTTGTTGAGACATTTATCATCTTTTTCTTGTTCTTTATTCTCTTTTTTCGCTGTAACTTTCTCACACACCTTGAAGCAGCAAGACTCTTTTTTATTTTCCAGACTAAACTTTTTTTTCTCAGTTATGTCTCCTTTGTTATCCTTTTTATTGGTGAGACATTTTCCATCTTTCCCTTGCCCTGTAGTTGGTAAATCTTTTGTACTCTCCTTGATATTTGGTTTGTTGCAAATATGGTCTTCAGACTTTTGTCTTGTATTGGATTGTCCCTGTTTTGCTTGGCCCTTGAAGCAAGAACCATCTTTCTCAACTTCTAGGGTATATCTATTTTTTCCCGTCAGATCGCCCTTTTCTTGTTTTTCATTATCACTTTGTTTGATAGGTCTCATTTTTGGTTTTGTGCATATAGTTTCACTACCATATCGTTTTTCTAACCCAGATAATCTTGTTGTAATACTGCTCTGGTTAGGGCATAATTCTGCGTCCATTTTCTCCTCTGATTTTTGCCATGGGTATTTGTGCTTGAATGATAGACTGCTCTTCGGACGTAATATAGAATGTGCTGTAAACCAGAAACAATTCAGTATGTGTTACGTAAAGTGAAGGATATACAAACGTTTTTTTAAGCTCTGAGAATTCCTTTCATTTGTCGTTGTTTTGTGTATTTGTTCAATGTGCTCCTTTTTTTGTTCTGTTGTTCTTTTATCTTTCAGTTTATCCAAACAGGATTTTGTCTGCTCAGCAGCTATCTTAGTGGAATCCTCTTTTACTGCAGCTTCAGTATTGTTTTTCAATTTATTCATGCAAGACATTTCTTGATTTTTTTTATCTGTGCTTATCGCCAGCTTTTTGCATTTATCTTGCGGGACGGTTTCTACAGAAATTTATGAGCTGAGTTTTAAACATATGGAATTTTTCAATCACTCACCTATTCCAGAATTTACGCTTTTCGCTTGTTTGGAGATTTCTCCACACTGATTAAACATACTTTGGTCTTGTTTCGGACGTGAATCGCATTTTTTAATTTTAGAATTCAATTTGCTTTTACTAGCTGCTTGACATATTTTGGAATGATCCGTCAATTTGAAATTAAGATGTTTTGTAGACTCTGCTTGGGACTTTTTCTCACATACTTCTTTTACTGCAGTTTGATTATTCGAACGTCTCTCACTGAACTTTTTCATTTCTTCATAACAAATGCAATTCAGTTTATTTGCTTCTGGTGCAGTTTCCTCCTTGTTCGGCTCACAAGGATCAGATTTTTTAGATAAAAATCTTTCATTGCACAAACTCCAACGATTTGTTTGTTTCCAAGGGTACTTGTTTTTCGTTTTATAATGTGCAAAACACATTGTACCTGGCTTCTTTCTACCATAATTGCTTCCTGATGAAGCTGTTAGAGTTCCACCAGTCAAACCTAAAAATGAATCAAGTTTGATTTTTTTATATATATTGACAATAATATCATTGCTAATTTACGATGACATTGAATACCGTTTCTTTGATATTACCTTTGATCTCTGGAAGGGACAGGGATCTTATTAAGCCAAGTGAAGCTGCTTTTTTTCCTGATTTTTTATTTTTACCGGGACATAATATCCTATATACACTGGAAACAATTCCCTTGCAGTTGTCTAGAAAACTCTTTTGAGAACACTCTTCTTTAGGATTCTGTGAATTCAATTTCGGACAAGTTGATTTTGAAGTGATTTCTGTCTTTGTACATGGAGTAGATTTTGTTTTTTGCAAATTATTTTTTGGGTGTTTTCCTGAAAAATAAAACATTTTACAATTGCTTGATTTGGAAGATGAAAACTATTATAAGTTCAGTTGAAATATTTACTTTGTAATAATAATTTGTATTTTCCATGAAATACATAATGTGTAGTTACTAATATTTAACAAAAAAAAGTATGAATTTCGCCTTCAAATTTCAAACAAAATAGTTTAACTAGGTAAATATTGAAATTGGACCACATACTAACTCTTGTGGCACACCATTCTCAAATATTCTATGTTTATTGGAGTATGAAATTTCTGTCATAATTGTAAAATTTCAGTAGATAAGTCACTCTAAATCTAATATAGTGAACCGACATGACAAAGACATGAAAAAATGGATTTGATATCCAAGAAACGGATATCAAATGAAGGGAAAACATTCAGATGGTCATCACATCAATTTCATAGAGAAATAACTTGGCAAAAGTTGACAATATCTTATTCACATTATCTAAAAAATTGAACGAAATATATCAATATATTACACGCTGATCCGGCAAACGTTGATTTGCCACATCAATTATCTCTATCAGAACAATAACACTTACAAATAATATTAATCCGTTGATGCTATAGTAGGGTACAACATTTTTCGTTAGTATATGTTTAGAGCTAACACAAACAAACTGGATGGCTTACCCACTCGAGACAATGCCACGTATAATTGTCCGTGTGAAAAACATAGTGTGCTCAAATCCAATCCACAAACGGACATTGTTTGGCCTTGGGGCAATGACTATTTCTTTGCAAATGCCAATCTAATTGGAAATTGCATGTAATATACAACATATCCCATTTTGTTATCAGACCCAAGAACAAATAAAGCATGTCACATGCAATTGACCATATGAAAAACTTACATTTTTTATATCATCCATTTCGTCTGGTCGAATTTTTTCGATTTACCATATAAGAATATTTGTTGCATTTGCCTAGCATCGCGACGTGTAAGCACAATATCTCGTTTTTCATAGATTTAACCAACAATGGGGCATTCGAGATGTTTTTGATCTTGATTGTATTACAGCTTAGTCGGGAAAAATCAGATCTTCTTGGTCGCAGCATTATTAATAATGATATCGTCACGATGAAATTTATATTATAATGATTCTTGCACAATACAAACACATAACCGGTCAACTTTGCGATAATTTAAAACAAACCATAGACATAGACAACATTACATGAACTGTCAGCTGCATTTTGTTATAATAAATGAGCTGTCATTTACGTTTTATAATAACACGTCACTATTATCACTGATGTTTTGCCCCTTTCATTATTATTTTATATTTCAATACGTATACTGATTTTATACTATTCCTGACGAAGACAAATCCAAAAACACAAAATTCATAAAAATGGGTCCACCCGCTCTCGAGTTCGTTTATTATTATTATTTTCATTGATGAAATGTCATATTTCAATACTTGTTATCCTATTCCAGATGGTAATATAACACTCTTAGGGCAGCGTTATGTCGATGGATATAGGCCAAAACTGCATATGCTGGACATGCTGATAGCAAGTGCATTAGGTTAACGGGCGCCTCGTCCCAGGCCGAGGCCATCACTCGACTGCGGTGTTGAAGACACCATCCTGGCGAACTATGATGTACCCCTCAGTTTCCGACTACAGCCCACAGGACCTGAGGAAAGCGAAAGTCAGGCGCTTTGATAAGCCAAGGTCTTGAATGTTATTGAAGAAGACCCCATGCATTGGCTTATCCTTGTGTTTCCGCAGAAGTGAGGTGATCTCTGCGGCTTTTATATTAGCTTTTTGGGTTCCAACTGGTGACAGAGTTGTGATCACCTCGTTCTTCGTCGAAAACTCAATCGAGTTCATCAGCTGCTTGGGCATCTGCCCTGAAGAGAAATGCTTCAATTTCTGTAATGGTTAAATGTGGGTAATGTGTAATGGTGTTGTTTAACATGTAATCGTTTAATAAAAATAAATATTTACTTACCTCAATGTTACAAAGAGTTTTTCTTCTGGACTCACGGATTTCCTTAAAACTGTATCTTGTTTAGTCAGATCATCGCGACATAAACTCAATAATTCATCAAATGATGCCGATGACATTCTCACGTAATTGTAAAATTTTTCAGGATATTTCAAAAAATCTTCATACAATTTCACGAAAACGCCGCATTCGCTTCGATTTGTTATAAAAGAATGAACCCATATTTTTTCTTTCTTCTTCTTCTGCTTAATATTTTTGCGACGTAGATAACATAACAGTGCGATTTCTTCCACGTCCATTTCTGTCTATGTACCGAATGCAACTGAAGTAGTGGCTGTAAAATGTCGGGTGGTGGGGTTCTTGGCTACGTGTTTGGCGACGTGATTTGACGACCCACAGTTGCCAGGAGTAGCCATGGCGACGTCGTTGGCTACGTGGCCATGGCGTCCCGGTGAGATACGACCCTAAGGGCTATACCGTATATGCGCCGCTTGCGAGAAGCGATACGAAGAAAATATCCGGTATTGTGGAAAGACAATCCATAGCTTTCGCATCAGGATAATGCACGCACCTGCTCACTCGTCGTTTCTTGTTCATAATTTTTTGGCCAAAAACAACTCCGCAGTCATGCCTCAGCGATCGTATTCACCATATTTAATCCCCTGAGACTTGGATTGGACTGAGGATAGGAAAAAACGTTGGCACAACTGTGTCGTATCTGAGAGGGACTACTTTGATACTCTCATAGGCATCTAGATACCTATGAAAGTGAAGAAATAAGTAAACATAATAGTATTATAAATGAAGATGGTGGACCAATACCTAATAGTATATTATATATCTTGTTAAAATGATATTTTAATTATTAGATTTACCTGACCATTACATAAGGGCAAATTGTAAAATAAATTTAAGACCATTAGAATCTTGTGAAACTAATTCAAGACAATCAAGACGCAGCAGGTATAAATAAGAAAAACTTTGTAAGTAGGATTAGTTTGATCTTCCTCTTAAAGATGATCACTTAGTGATCGAAACACGTGTCGAGGTGTTAAAATAACGGTTTGATGTTGGGAAAAAAAACAAATGAATATTTAA